ATACTCAAAAAACATTAATTGTACACTTTAAATGAGTGAACTGGCCGGGCATGATGGCACACATCTGTAATCCCAGCACTCAGGAGGCTGAGACAGGAGGACTGCTGCAAGTTCAAGGCCGGACTGGATTACATAGTGAGTTCAAGGCCAATCTGAACTACACAGCAAGACCCTGTCTCAAAAAAAAAACCCCAGAAACAAATAAATAAACAAGTGAATTGTATGCCACATAACTTACCTCATTATATCTGTTAAAAATACATGGGGGGGGGCAGGGATTTAGTTCAATGGTGTAAGTGCCTGCTTGGCAAACATGAGGTTGTGAGTTCGATCCCCAAACAAAAAAAAACCCGCATAACTGCAGATAAAATGCTAGATGTTTTCCTCTAAAACTGGGAACAACACAAGGATATTTGCTTTCATCACTTTTTTTTTTTTTTTTTTTGGGTACTGGAGATCGAATTCAAGACTTCACGCTTACCAGGCAGGCATGCTGCTGAGCTAAATCCCAGACCCTAAAATATCTAAAAATGGATTTGGTTCCAGTTTTTTTGTTTTGTTTTTTTTACCAGGGATCAAACTCACAATTTTGTTTTTTTGTTTTGTTTTGTTTTGTTTTTGTCTTTTTCATTTTTACTGGTACCAGGGATCGAACTCACGACTGCCTGCTTCCAAGGCAGGCACTTATGCCGCTGAGCTAAATCCCCAGCCCCTAAAACTCACAATTTTGCATTTGCTAAGCAGGCACTTGTGCCACTCAATCCCTGACCTGCTTTCATCACTTTTGTTTAGTATTTTACTGTAGGTAAATTCAAATACAAAAGGCAATTGTAAATACAATACAAAAAAAAAAAAAAAAGGATAGGTTTGGAAAGGAAGAAGTAAAACTGCCCCTATATACTGATGATGTAATTGTTTATATAAAATATACTAAGGAATTAAAAACTACTAGAACTAATCAATGAGGAAAGCAAGTTCAAGTCAATATGCAGCACTTATTAACTATAATGTCTATACCTACAGGAAACAACAGGAAATTGAAATGAAAAAGAACAAAAACATCAATTCCTTTTGTTAGCATAAAAAAAAAAAAAAAACAAAAAACACTTCAAAGGGGCTGGGGATTTAGCTCAACAGCATAAGTGCCTGCCTGGCAAGTGTGAGGTTGTGAGTTTGATCCCCGGTACCTGGAAAAAAAAAAAAAAAGAAAAGAAAAGAAAAAAGAAAAAAAAATCCTCAAAATACTTAGGAATAAAGTTTTTAAAATGTGTATATAGATAGAGCAAACATGATTAAGCTGGGACATAAGGTAATACATTCACTCTGGAATGCTGAAACAGAAGGATCTCAAGTCTGAATACAGCCTGGACAGCCTAGTATATAAGCAAGAACCATCTCAAAAAAGAAAAAAGGATGGGGATGTAGCTCAAGGAGAAGCCCTGGGTTCAATCCTCAGTATCCGCTCAAAATTAGGAAAATTTAAAGACCTACATAAATGGAGAGATGAATCATGTACTTGAAATACAATAACCAATACTGTTCAGGTGTTCATTTCTTAATTATGGTCCTGTTATGTAAATCAATTCAATTTTATTCCTAGATTTTCCCTCCTCTATTTGAAATGTTTCTGAAGCAATATTTAGTAGCTTTTCTGAGGTACGACAAATAAAGAGTATAACTTGATAGCTTCTGACATGTTTGCACTGGTGAAACTATCATGGTTAGAAAATACACATGATCATCACACCCAAAAGTTTCTCCATGGCCTTTTTGTGTGTTTAGGTTTTTTGAAACTGGATTTCACCAGAGCCCAGGCTGGCCTTAAACTTCCACTCTGCTAGTGCACCATTATCCTTAGCCCTTACAGATCTTTTGTAATACATTTCTCCATTTTTCCTGATTCCTCAACCAATGATGTATGCGCCACCACACCTGATTTTTGCTTTTTACTAGTTTTGTAGATGAGAGTTCATTATGTTTTAAAATCTAACCCTTTATCAAACGTTTTCTCTATTTTTTTTTTTTTCCTTGTGACAAGGTCTCGCTACATAGTTCAGGCCAGCCTTGAACAATGTAACCCAGGCTAGCCTTTGAATTCACAACGATTATCCTGCCTCAGCCTCCTGAGTGTTGGGATTGCAGGTGTATGCCACCATGCCTGGCCCTTCATTGTTCCTTTTTTGTTGCTGTTGTTGGTACTGGCATTGTTTCTTGTGGGATGTTTCACTGAGGACATCAGTTCCCTACTGGTTGCTTGCTGATTGAAAGATGTCTCTCATCTTGCTACATGGGCCTCTCCACAAGTACTTCTTTACATAGGAGGTTGCTAAATGTAAAAGATAGCAAGAGACAGAAGCCAGTCCTTCAGAATCTTTTTGATGAAATGCCATCTCATCACTTTTCTGTGATCTATTCCTTAGGAGCAAGGCACTACTTCTAGCCTATACTCAAGGGAAGAGGATCACAGGGCATGTATTCCAGGAGGTAAGGATCAGGAGCCAGTTCAAAATTCTTTGTCTCCAGTGCTTTAATTCTTTGCATTTTTTTTTTCTGGAATTGTTACTGGATGTTTTTACTTATATTGTTACCCTCTTTTTCTTATTCTCTTTTTAAATGTAAGAAAAACTTTTGGCAGTACTGGGGATTGAACTGAAGGTTTTGTGCATGCTAGGCAAGCTAAGGCACTGATTAGCCCTTTCTATTTTTTGAGAGACCAGTTGCTCAGGCTGGCTTCAAACTTGTGAATCTTCTGCCTCAGATTCCATTGTAGCTGGGATTACGTGTGTTTGACTCTCTAAGTCAAGGGAATCCACTCTGCTATTTATCTTGTTTTTCATTTCAATTATTGTATTTTCACACTTCATTTTTTTGATTGTGATTATTCTTGTTCCATATTGCTAATATTTCTACCATGTCCTCAGTATTTACTATGCCATCCTTCAATTATTGGTTGTCTTTCTGAAAGTATTTCTCCTTCAAGTGTATTCACTTTCTCTTTTGAGGCAGTTTTCAGGTGTCCCTATACACTGGTGTGAGTTTAAATGTGCCCTGGAGTATAGGCCATAAGACTGGGCAAGTACACCAGATAACGGCCAAAGACTACACGGCTGACTTAAGGGAGGTAACAAACTCTGGAGAGGAGTCCCAGGAATCAGAATCTCTTTGCTTGTAGCCCCCTTTGATGTCATCCACCAACACCACATCTTATTCCAGGGTTCAATGTTTATTCTAGATAGTTGCACTGCCCTAAAATTATCCTTTTCAACACCAGGATTCTAATATACAGCCTTCATTTCTACAGCATGCATGTCAGCTGTGCTGCGCCCAAGGCAGGTGTTTTCCCTTTTTTTTTTGTAAAGGATCAGACAAGTAATTATTGGGCTTTTCGGGCCATAATATAATAACTGCAACTACTCAACTCTTGTCTTTATAGTTCAAAACTATGGCTGTTCTCCAATAAAATTAATTTTGAAAACAGGCACTGTGGTAGCTTGATTTACAAACTCAATCCTCTCCATAATTCCGGTAGCAAAGTGAACTGGATGAGAATGGAATTATATTTCCCCATAAAGTCAACATTGAACCTAACCACTGAAATTTTTTTTTGGTACCAAAGATTGAACTCATGACTTCACAGTTACCAGGCAGCTAACCACTGAATCTGATTTGGTTCTAACCCAATCTGTTTGTAATCAGAATTGTGGAAAGAAGTTTGTGATCTGAGGTGCCATCAGCACTTTATATTTGGTGGAAGGGCCATAGTTTTCCAGCCCCTGAATCAAGACAAAGGTGTTATCAGGAGTGAGGAGGCAAAACACAGAACTTAAACTGGTCATGATGGCACATAACTGAAATCCAAGCATTTTAGGAAGCTGAGCTCAAGCCCATCCTGGGCAACCCCACAAGACTTTGTCTCTAAAACCAAACAACCAACCAACCTGGTGGCTGGGATGCAATGTAGCTCAGTATGAAGACCCTAAATTCAATCCCTAGTATCACACACAAACACACCTCCAAAAACACCTTAAACTACTTAATACAGCACTTCCTCAGGGTGACACAATTTTCATTATTATGCAAATATTACATTGTATACTTGATACAAACCTAGAAGGTATAAGCCTATATGCCACTATCTTTCTTTTAGGATAGTGAGAGAAAATCCTTTAGAGACTGAGTGCCCTAACTACAACCAAAATCCACTGTTTTCACAAAGTGCCAACACTGCAATTAAACCTAAATACTGAAGTTTAATTTAAAAAACACAACTCACACAGTTAGCTCATGTGTCAACCAAGAGGGTTCTGTGTGCCCACTGTGGTATGCATGCCATACGTTTGCCACCACTGTCCTAGAGCCACATGAATAAAATGGCACAAAATAAATCAAGTACAAGAAAATATACAATCAAGAGATGCTATAATCATGGGATGTATGAGGCTGCTGCTGGAGTAACGTCAGTTTTACAGTAACCTTTTTATTTTTTAGTAAGTAGGGGTACACTCCAAAAGTGGTAACAGTATGGTAAATAAACCAGTAACATATTTATCATTATCAAGTATTATGCATTGTACATAGTTGTGCTGTACATTTACATTACTGGAAGCCTAGCAAGTTTGTTTACATCAGCATCACCAGAGAGAAGAATGTGTTGTGCCACAATGTTACTGTATCTCTAGCTGATAGGAATTTTTTAGCTCTGTTACAATCAGATGAGACCACTATCATATATATGGCCTACCATCAACAAAAATTTCACTATGTGGCACAAGACTGATGACTGAATATCCTATTACTCTACCAGGGCTGTTCTTCAATCTTAACTACTCTTCTACTCTCCCAACAAGCGAAAAGAAAGTCATCTGATTCCCTGTTGTTGTTTTTTTAAAGTACCTTTTTATTTTTGAGTTCCAAATTCCCTTTGGAATTGTTCTACTTAGGGAGAAAAAGCAGAATGCTAAACTCAACACATTGGCAAGAATGGAAGGCAAAGTCAATAATTGTTTTCTTTCGTGCTTTATTTATATATTTTTGGCAGCAAAACTGTGTTTCTTTAAAAAAAAAACTATAGACTATAGAACACACTTCACTGCTTCAGTTGAGGAATCCCAAGCCAAATAAAAAGGCCAATATTAAAAGCAGCATACTGGTTACTTTCTTTAAGACACATAAGAAGAATCAAATGCAACAGTGTAGGAAGACAACTACCTCCTTTTCAGAAATCACAACTTCTTCCAAATAAAGAATGTGACCCATCTGCCATAATGAATCAATATTTATTTCAGGACATGCCATGTCAAAATAAAACAAAAGAGTCAATCCTTGCTTTTAACAATAATATTATATTATAAAAGCACTTTACAACTCCATCCCATCTTTAAGTTACAGGTATGTGGGCTAATGATTATCTGAAAGCATTTTTTCTTCATATCCATAATCCAAGTGCTCTCTGAATATTACAAGCTGATAACAGTGAGAAGTGGAAGAGGAAGAAGAGAGAGGAGGAGTAAGCTTTTCCCAGTTAAAGGTTCTGTTACAATGAGGACATGAAGAAGTATGAAGTTATTTCTGTTGTCTTTTCATCTTTATACTGTGTTAAGTAATGCTTACAACATAAACTTGGCAGGCTTTTTCTGAGTTACAACTCAGAAATTTTCTCCCTGCAAACAATGTATTTACAAATGTGTTTATTAACTTACACAGCAATCTCACAATAACTAGTAAAGATTAAAAGGGTGCACTCCTAGTATATTTATTTGCAGTGTTTTAAGGGAAATACATATTGCCATGGCGATGATGCTCTAGTCAACAACAACAAAAAATCTATCTCAAATGAGTTTTAAAAATGGCAAAGAAATAAATATCACCAAAAAAGATTAATTGTAGCTTAAATACAAAACTAAATTACTAGTTAATTAACCAAACTATACATATCTAATAAAAAAGCAAAATCAGCCTAAAAGACCTGACATTTAAAAAATAAGGCATAATCCGCATAGTCTTGACTTGTATTTCCATTCTGTCCTTTTCCTCTTCAAACTTGCTTTTCCTGATCTGCCTCTGCAGTGATGGCAAACCTTTCAAAGCTTTCAATAATACAACAGCCCGCTGTGACGTGCAAACCATATGTTTGCCATCACTGCTCTAGAGGCTTACAAGAAAATTACTTCCATCTTCAATCTGACTTCAAATGTCCAGAGTAGAGTATCAGCTATTTTGCAAGCTTCTTTGTTGGTAAGCTTTAGCTAGCTTCAAAGTTTCAACAGTTTTGAACATGGTACCAAATTTAAATTTTTTCTTTTTTTTGGTCTTTTTCCTTTTTATCCGTACTGGGGATCGAACTCAGGACTGTCTGCTTGCAAGGCAGGCGCTTATGCTGCTGAGCTAAATCCCCAGCCCCCAAATTTAAATTCTTCCACTTTAAGAATTGGACTTTTACAATGCCTTTCTTGCATACCATTTAAAAGAAAAAACCATAAAACAAGCCTAATGCTTAAGGAGATTAAAAACAAACAAACAAACAAACAAACAAACAAACAGTTTGTGCAATCTTAAAATTTCGGGAGAAAAAAATATCTTGGGAGAAATAGTTCATTAGAACTTTACGACTTTACCATGAAAAATTAACTGGTTACTTTTCTCTCCCAGAGTCTAATAAAGCACATGTAAAAGGGTCATTTGTCTTGGTCAGAAACACATTTTGTATTCTACTTGTGACTACTCAATATATTCATTAGGACTCATTTTGAAGATACAGTAGAACCCTTTCCTCGTTCAAGCACTGCCCACCATGATAGCTAAGTTTTGACTCAAGAAGGTCTAAGTAATTTATATCAATGCTCAAGAATAATGTTGGACATCTTGGCCTATTGCTATAATAGGTGGTATATGTAAAACTAAAGGATAATTCCAATGGGCTTGGTCAGACTGCTGTTTGCCACTGTTTGTTTTGTGGTAGAGTGGGAATAGCAAACGCTGGTAAGGGAGAAGTGAGAAAAACAGTAAGCGATCAAATAGTAAGCAAATGCTGTGAACACACTGCTCCTTAACCAAGCCACACATACTGCTGACATTTTCATCATTTTAAAGTACCTTATCATAACATTAAAAAAGGAAAAATGTTAAGAAAATGTATCTAATCTTCAGTTATCACTGGAATCTTTTGGTTTTTTTGTAAAATATAAATAATGAAGACACTGACATTTTTGTGCTTGTGAAGCTAATAGATCATCTCCACGAGACAGGCAGCAATGATGAGTTGCAATATGTTATTATTGAAGGGAAAAGGTTCAAGCCAATATTCACACTGCAGTCAATGAAAGAGTACAGGGACCAAAGCAGTGAGCTTCTGGAGAAGGGCTGAAGATACTATGGGAGATTAGCAGGAACAGCCTCCTTCAGTGACTGGTTGTTCTTGAGGCTTTTCCAGCTTTATGTCAATCACTGAAACATAGTTAAGGAACCACAAACAAAGCACAATTCAGATCCTGCTAACTGACAGCTCTGGAAAGCCCTTAATATTTCTATTAGACTTTAGTGCCTACACACTCACTATCTTCTATACAGCTACCTCAACTTATAAGGTGCCCAAGTGGAATAAACTTATTCATATCTATTATATACAACAAGGATCTGAGTGAGATATTATCCATTTTCATGGGTATCAATTCTGAAATTAGTCTATAATAGCATCAAAAAATCATACGAAGACCATATTCCTTACAGAATTATCTGTAATAAAGTTTGACAATAGCCTTTGAGTTCCAATAATAGGAAAACCTTAATAAATGATGGCACTTAAACTGTATAACATATTATGCCACTAAAAGTAATAAAGCTTTGGAAAATACAGTGGTACCTCGGTTCAGAAGCTTGATTCTTTTGATGATTCTGGTCAGAAACCGAGTTGGAAGAGAACTGAATCAAATTCAATGATTAGGTGCAGAGGTGATATTATGGGGAAATTTGATTCTGTTCTCACCCAGCTTGGTTTGCAACCAGACCATGAAGATAATTGAGTTTGTAAACTGAGCTACCACTGTATAAATTTAGAAGCAAGAAGTGGTGAATATAAAGTATAAAATCTATGACTGCCAGATATGTTTGTAATCCCAGCACTGAGGAGTCTGAGGCAAGAGGAATACCACAAATTCAAGGCTAGCCTGAGTCACATAGGGAGTTAAAGGCCAGCCTGAGCTCTATAGCAAGACTCTGTTTCAATACCCCCCAATAAACAGAAAAACACAAAAAACTATGGCTTAATCAAAATATGTGCAAATGTAAAAATGCTAGGTAAATATAAAATTAGTAGAACATCAAAATTCAAATCCTTAGAAATAACAGATACACCTTATTATGGTGGTCAAGATAAAGTTCAATTCTGAGTTAGTTCTTGCCCACGCCAAGAAGAAAGCACAAGTTTAGAAAAAGTATGAAAAGAAAATATAACATACTATAAGGGAAAAACCCAGAGCTAATAGGACTCTGAATGAAGTAGCAGGAGACTAGGACTTCTAAGTTTCCTGATTATTAAAAAGCAAGCAAGAAGGGGCTGGAGGTTTAGCTCAGCGGCATAAGCACCTGCCTTGCAAGCAGGCGGTCGTGAGTTCGATCCCCGGTACCGATAAAAAGGAAAAAGACAAAAAAAAAAAAAAAGCAAGCAAGAAACAGTCGCTGGTTAATTATAGTGAATAGTAGGCTACAGAAGTGCACCTTTGAAACATCATTTGTTAGCAAATCTCTACTTTTCTTTATACCTAGGTCATCACTTCCTGGCTATAAAAGACAACAGCACAATACTCTTCAGCCAATAATACTAGAGACAATAGAAATAAAAAGGATACTGTCTTCTCTGCTTCTGTCTTGTGTACTTTCCATTCCAGGCAAAGCTGCTGCTACACGTCGGAAGAGCTGCGAGAGAGAGAGAGAGAGAGAGAGAGAGAGAGAGAGAGAGAGAGAGAGATGGTATGATGGTGGATAACCATTGGGTGGTGAGTTAAAAGACATGGTTTTGGGGTTACCCTTTAGACATCAGCATCTGAAGGACATATTAAAATATGTATTCGTTTTTTAAAAGAGTATTTATGAAAAGCACACCAAATATAAAGAGTAAATACAGACATGACTTCTGCTTTCCAATTGGTAAGACAAAACATGAACAAGCAGCCATGAAATAAGCAGCAGAAAGTCATTTGAGTAAAAAATGAAACATTACAGAAACTCAGAGGAAGGACAAATAGTTCATTTAGCAAAACAGTATAGTGGCATTTCTATCTTTAATAAAGGATTAGGCTCCAAATTCAGTGTATTATATACAGTGACAAAGTTATCCTTGATAATTATTTAGAAAAGCACTATGTTAGAGACCAGCAATAAGACCTTTCAAGGCAGACACAGGTGGCCTTTTTTTCATCTTACCAAGCAGTTGGGTCTTTGAGGTATGGTATTATAAAAAAATACCTTCAGTAGGAGAAAAAAACCAATCCTAGTGAGATGTTTGAAAGGCATGTGGGAACAGATAATGACCAGAGGAACAAAAGATTCATACCATTTTTTTTTTTTTTTATTTAAAGAAAAGGAAACGAAAAAAAAAAAAAATACATGGAGATTTAAAAAAAAAAGGGTAGAAATAATACTAAATTACAGACAAACAAAAGGTAAGAAATTGCCAGTTGATAAGTTACAAATTGTCTTCTTCGAAATGGCTGTTCAGGTTATAGAATTAAAGTATTTAGAATGACATTCAAAAAAGTGACCCTACAAACCATTCTGCTCTATGGCCGAACAAAAGCTCCGTAATATGATTATCAGTCCCACCTATTTGTTTTACATCTCTAAGAGGATAAGGTTAACCATATCAAAACAGAACAGAACATTTTAAAAAAAAAATAAAAAACAATTTAAAGAAATACAGATTTCAAAGCAAGTCCACTGGAGATCTACCTTATCTAACTGTCTCTAGCTTCTTATAAATAGTTGTCCCTAACTTCACCCACTTTCTATACTTATTGCATATTATAGAACTAATCAAATCATTACAGGATGATGGAGTCTTTTTAGGTCCTCAAGTTCCAAATTAGGGAAGACATTTCCAACTACCATCGCATCTCTCATTCTCTTTGTGATAGCCGTCCCCATCTCTGCATATGCTGAAGTTGAGCTGAAGAAACCAGTCCAGAGTCATTTTGATCAGCAAGCAATAGATTGCTAGAATTTATATTATAATGCTACAAAATAAGCCTCGGGTTTTTCAGGTCTCTTCCTCAGAGTATTTGTTCCTATCCTCTCTGTATTATAGGGAAAACCAAGTCATAACAAGACAGCGAAACAATTTCCTAGATAAACATGCAATAGATAAGACTTATAAAACTATAATATAAATGATCTTCCGTAGCTACTATGTTTTCTCTTGTTATTTTCAATAGATTTGTCGACAACACTGGCTTATTATAGTTAAATATACTATCACCTATTTTTATAAAAACTTATCTTTGACTGCATTGTAGTATTTGAGAGCTGTTACTGATTCATACCAGTATGGATATCCTTTACATCCTGTCATGCTCAGAGTAGTTTCCTCTACTTTTAGGGTTGATTCTAACACGCATACCGATTTCAAATAGGATCAGTCAAGGCCAACCAATAGTCTTATGATTCAGATACAATTAAGATCAGTCATAGTAAGACAATGTAAGTAATACAGGATTTCAGCTTAAGTCAATAGGAAAGTAAGGATAGTTACCATGGTATAACCTGCTATTTTTGGTTCTAGAGGTCTGTGTCCTCAAATCTGATATGAGTGGACAGACCAGAACAAATTTAATTCAATCTAAATATGGCACTAGGACTACTGTGTCTTTTAAATCGTTATATACCATTAGCAATGACCTCTGCTTTTTTTTTTTAAATATAGTTTCAGAGCTGTCTCTACCAAAGACTAGCTTACCGTCTCTGCCTCATGTCTGCTACTCCACTTTTCTGCTATAATTTGTCCACCTTATTCCCTCATTCCATGGTCTGCCCCGTACACTGAGGCCTCTCTGCCACTGTAGCTGTAATCCTGATATCTCTTCCTCTCTTTCTCTGTAATGTCCTTCAGTGCTCTCTGTAGGGTTGGATTGGTGGCCACGAACTCCCACAGTTCCTCCTTGTCTTGAAAGTATCTTATTTCTTCATTAATTTTTAGAGAGAGTTTTGACGGATATATGAACTTAGGTTGCATATTTTTTTCCTTCAGGACTTGGAATATTTCTCCCCACTCCCTTCTTGACTTAAGAGTTTGTATTGATAAGTCTGCTGTTATTTTGATAGATTTCCCGTTATAGGTAACCTGCATCTTTTCTCTGGCTGCTTTTAATATTCTGTTTTTTTGGTGGATTTCTGGGATCTCGATTATTATATGCCTAGGCGTAGATCTGTTTTGGTTGTAGGTAGCTGGCGTTCTGTATGCTTCTTTTATCTGGATATCATTTCTTTTTGCTATACATGGGAAATTTTGCTTTAATATCTCTGTGAATATTTTTTGTATTTCATTTTTGGATGTTCCTGCTTCCTCACTCACATTCTTTATTCTTAGGTTATGCATCTTTTTATCATCTTCCAGTTTTAGAATTGCTTCTTTCTGGTTCCTTGTTATTTTTAAGAGGCTTTTTCTTTCACGTTCATAAGCCCTAAATCTCTCTTCAAGTTTCAGAAGGTTGTCTTTAGTTTCTGTCAAGGCATTTTGCCAATATTCAATGGAGTTTTTAGTTTCCTGATATTCTCTTTGGATCTGTTTCATGTATTCTAAGTTATGCTTAAATTCTTCTTCAGATGCTTCTCTTTCTTTTCTGATTTCCTCAGTTCTTCCATCTGTGTTCTCTTGGGCGGGGCTTGTCATTTCTTTAATTAATCTCTTTATATCTTGCCTCACTTGGATCAGGAGTACATCTTTAAATTCCTCTATGAGATCATGTAAATACTTTTTAATTTCGGCTGATGCTGTGTTGAACAATGGATGGTTACTGTGTTTGTTCTCTTCAGTGTTTAGTTCTCTTGGGTTTAATTTCTCCTGTTGAACAGCTGGAGATTTTTTTTTTATTTTTATCTCTTGTCATGTTTCTGGTTTCTTTCAGACTGTCCTGGAGTTCTCTGGCCCTCTCCGTATTGCTTAGGGCCTTTCAGAAGCGTGCTGGCTTGAGTTTTTGCTGTCCTCCCCAATTTGCTGTTATCTGGGGTAGGCTGGGATGCAGGGGCGGTACAGTCTAGTCTCTAGCCTCTGTGTCAGTTAGTTCATAAATTAGGCTGTACCTTCTGGTTGTCACTGAGTTGTGACCATTCTGCATCCACCCATTGGGCCCCAAGCAGAGGCCTGGTCTAGCCCCAGTAGCTCTTGCCAGTTCTCCCTGAATCAGAAGCAGCTGGGTAATGGCACAGGATTCTGCCCAGGTCCCAGCCGTTCTCTTCCAAACCTCTCTGTGATAGGAGAACCAGAAAAGCAGATCTGCCCAAAACCAAGATGGCTCCCACTAAGTTCTCCGTGCGGAGCTGAAGCCAGCAAGCAATCAGACTCTGCCAGGACTCAAGATGTCTTCCACCAGCCCTCCCTACAGGGGGACCTGGTGATGTTACCAAGCTGCGGTTTCTGCCGCCAGGCTAATATGTCTGCACCAGATTCTGTGTTACTGATTTCCCCGTGGTGGCGGGCCAGCTGTTCTCTGGTCAAACCCAGCAACCGCGGGGTTTTCTGTACTCACCAGAGTCCGGTGCAATTCCCCACTCCGGGACCTCCGCATACCAAGCCGTCCACTTTTCCCCACCTCGTGGCTCAGCGCTGAACGGTCAGATTTCTGTGCGCCGTTCAGATTCGAAACGCGAGAGCTCTGTACATCTGCTCTGGTGCAGCGGCGCAGAACTGGCTGCCACCTGGAGTCTCGATCTGGGTCTCAGTTTCCGCAGTCCCCAAAAGCAACTCAGCTTTTCGTGCTGGGTCCACGAGTCTGTTCGTTGATTTAAGGGCGCGGGATTTGCAGCCTCCGGTCTCAGCACGACTTTAAATCCTCCAGCTGTACTGTCTTGGTTAATAAGAATCGCTATCGATTTGTCTGGTCCTCTCCATGCTGTCTTTTTTTTTAGCTTTGAGTTTGAATTCTCTGGAGAGATTCTTCGCTCGATCCCCTAGCTCGCCGCCATTTTCAGACCTCTCCCCTGAGCACGATTCATACCATTTCTAATGTGCCCAATTTTAGACACATTCCTTTAGAATACAATGGCAAGTAAAACTGCTTGATTATTTAAATTTTTTCTCTTTTAGTCAGCATGTAGTATAGAATTCGTAAGTAAATGCTATGTAATATAACTCCCTTGAAGTAACTGTTAAGGCACTCTCTCAAGCTCTTCATGGAAACAGAAACAAAGAAAACAGTTGTTTAATTTAAGAGCTCTTGATCTGACAAAGGAGATAGACTTAATCCCTTACATCACAATGTGAGGAGTTACTATAAAATGAGGAAACAGAATATGAGAATATGGATATAAGGAGGACAGCATCAGGACAGTGTGAAAAACCTTTAGGAGGTGACATTCTGGTTGGGATTTATAGGCAACTGAAAATGTTATACAGCTAAAAGTCACACTGTGTAAAATACTCCATAAATTTTGCTTATTTAAATTGAAAAAGAACAGAATGAATGTAAAGCCAGACATAATGAACTATAACTGCATGTAATGTGTTTAGGAAAATAAGTACATAAATAGAGCAAATTGTAAAATTTTGATTTGTTGGACAACAGCTGGAAAGGGTGGGAGTGGAAAAGACTGAAAAGAAACTAACTTTTGAGACGTGCCAATGTTAGGCTTTAGTCTCAATATTTAACTTAAATCAACTATTAAATCTGAATTACAGAATGCTTATCCTAACATTATTTCTGGCATACCACATACTATATATAATCAAAGGTCATATAGTTTTATAAATTATGAATATTATAAATTCAATATATTAATTTTATATGGTGGGTCAATTAGGATTAATGTATATATATTTAGTTTCAAATTAAAACATTCTAGAAATAAAACTTAAATGCATAAAAAAGTATTCTCTATCCATATCATATAGAAGCCACTATGCAGAATTGCATATGGTAGCAGTGAGTACTGAGATGTAGTCCTATACCAAGTGTTTCTAGATTATGTTTTAAGTTTATTTCTATATCCCAGAAATTCATTCTACATAATGATACTCAAATTTGGCCCCAATTATTTCAACACTAATCTAGCCAAAATGTATATTCAACACATTTCTTATTTCAGCAGACATGAGGGCAAGGTAAAGGAGATGACATTTTGGAAAAAAAAAAAAAAAATTCAAGGAATAGACAATCCATAAAAATAATTTAACATTATAAATTGATACTTCAAATCTGTAAGTCATTTTCCCAGATGACAGAAATATATGTATTTTATATGACTGATCAATAGCAGGTGGAAGGGGAAGATTTTAACCTATAGTTAAATGTGCTCATTAATGTAAGGGTTTGGTGTTTGGGTTTTTTTTTTTTTTTTTTTGCCTTTTTTCTTTAATTCTTTAGTTTGGTGGTTCCAGGACTTTTGCTTCCTTATTGAATTACATAAAATAATAAAACAACAAAGGACAATCACTAAATATTACAATAAAATCCCAGCTAATGAACTACAGTACTCCCTATAAAATGGAAAGTATGTACTGATTTTTGTGAAGGAAGAAGGAAGCTACAGTTGGGTGATATAGTGCACTCTTCTAAGCCTAGCACCAGAAAGTTTGAGGTAGGAGAATGCTGTGGAGTTCGAGGACAGCTTTAGGCTACATAATGAATTCAATGCTAACCTAAACTACATAGTAAGACCATGTCTCAAAAAAAAACAAAGAAAGAAAGAAAGAAACAAACAAACCAAAAAACCCCAAAGAAACAAAACAAAAAGCCGGATGTTGTGGCATATCACTGTAAATCCTAGCACCTGGGAGGCTGCAGGCACATTGCCACAAGATCGAGGCCAGACTGGGCTATACAGTAAGTTCAAGCCCAACCTCCACACTATACTGCAAGATTATTGAAAGAAAGAAAGAAAGAAAAGAAAAAAAAAGAAAGCAAGCAAGCAAGCAAGCAACTACATAAACAAAAAGAAAGTAGTTCTGTCCCACAATGAATAGCATCTTTGGTTGCATATATATTTGAAAGCTATTAAGCTCAAATGAGTAATATGAAAGATACTAAACTCTCAATGAATCAGGCTCTTTCAACAAAATCAGATTTTAGATATTTACAAATAAACAAAAAAGTACAAATGAGTTTTGAAAACAAAGACTTCTGTATAAAAAAAAAGTAACTTCATTATCACTAATAGCTATATCTATCTGTGTTAGGTTCTGAGAAAAAATATGTATTTATTGATAAAAATGTTCTAAAATTGGACTGTAGTCCAATTGGCGATACAATTCCATAAATTTACTAAAATAACTGAATTATATACTTAAAATAATGGAATCTTATGGTATAACAAGTTTAGTATTCCTTATATGAAATTCTTGGGCCTAGAGGTGTTTCAGATTTTGAAATTATTTGCGTGTACATAATGAGGAATCTTATCTCATTGGACACAAATCTAAACATGACATCCATTCACATTTCACATACTCCTTAAATGTGTAGCCTTAAAGTAATTCAAAACTATATATTTTTTTTAAAAAAAACTATATATTTTGTGCAACTGTATTTTTTGTTTTTTTGGTACTGGGGATCGAACTCATGGCCTCATGTCTAAGCAAGCACTTACGCTGCTAAGCTAAACCCCGGACCCCTGTGCAATTTTGTTTTGACTCAACCTACCACATGAAGTCAAGTGGAATTTACAACTTGTGGCTTTGAGTAGATGACTGAAACATTTTGAATTTTGGATCAGGATGTCTCTGTCTTTAGGATCTTGCTATGTAGTTCAGGCTGGTTTTGAATTCACAGCAATCCTCTTGGCTCAGTCTCAAGTCCTGGGATTACATGCCATGTACTACCATTCCTGGCCAGGATATATTAACTTTTGCTTTAATAAACATATTAAAAATGCTGTGCTGCTAGGGATTTAGCTCAGCGGCATAAGCACCTGCCTTGCAAGCAGGCAGTCGTGAGTTCGATCCCCGGTACCGATAAAAATGAAAAAGACCAAAAAAAAAAAAAAAAAAAAAAAATGCTGTGCTTACAAAATAGTAAAGGAGGCCAGGTATAATCCTAGCACTTGGGAAGCTGTGGCAGGAGGCTTCCTGCAAGCTCAAGAACAGCCTGGGCAACAAAAAGTGAGTTCAAGGCCAGACTGAACTGCACAGAGAAACCTTGCCACAAAGAGACGGGAGCAGAGGGGCGGGAGGAATGACAATCCTAAGATTATCTAAACTTGCAAGCAACTAAACATGAAGATACTAGCCATCAGTAGTGCTCTCTATGTTCTGTCTGATTCTTGAGTTTCCAAACCTGTAAGACTACTTCAGGTAAGGACTACAAGAACAGTATCAATATCTTCTTCAGGTGATAACAGAGAACCAGAAAAAGATATCCTGTAGCACTACATAAAAACAACAAGCTCATACTTCTTCTTATCTAAATCTCTCCAATAGAAAGAGCTAGACAAAGCTATCCACTGTTTTGTCTTAGTTTAGTGGTATATAGTAATACTGCTGTAACTTGTATTATTTAAAATTTGGAATTGTCCCTGGATTCTATGAATTCAGCTACTTAACATTTACTATATTCGGTTTACATTGTTAAGTTACGGGAAATAGGTATCGGGGTGGAAGACAAGTATTTTCAATAAACTGTGGTAAGTTCAATAACAGTGGTCTCATAAGAGAGGTCTTTGAAAACAAAAAGACAGTTATTTATCACAGCCATATAGGAGGACAGGAAATGTCAGAGAAGATATAGAGCAACCTTCTTACCTTAATGATTCAAGGCAAAAATGGATGGTAAAGAATGTGGCAAAAATGAAAATAAAAATTTTATTTTAAAGAGAAAAAATAAAATTTGAAAACATGACAATCAGGGAGTAACACTGATACATACATTGTGTGTTGTTATCTTCAAATCAGGTACTCAGAATATAAAATATCTTCTTTAATTGTCCAAACAATACCAACACAAACTTTCTCTTCAATGAGCTCAGAGAAATCAGTAATGCAACTATGTTAACTAGAAAATAGAAAGTTTCACAAAGCTCAATTTAAAAGATTTTACTTTAACCCCCAAAATTTGTCTGTGAGTCTTACAAATCTGGGGCCACCACTCTAGACGGTTTATAGCCCTGAAGAATGAAGCATGAGAGTCTGGGGATGACCCATTTTGTAGAATCAGCTTGGTAATATGAGATCTCTCTGTATTTTTCTGCTCTCTTCCCCTAAAGCACTCCTGCTGCCATATGTTTAAACACCATCAGTCTATTAAGGATAATTAGGAATAAAATAACCATAATGTAGTTTCACAATAAGCAAAATATTCAATATTGAAAAAAAATTGCTTTCATTTATGACAGTGTTGAAGTAAGGATGTAATAACAACATGGTAAATTTAAAATTTTGAGGGCTGGGGATTTAGCTCTGTGGCAAAAGCGCCTGCCTTGCAAGCAGGCAGTCGTGAGTTCGATCCCTGGTACCAATAAAAACGAAAAAGACAAAAAAAAATTTTTTTTTAAATTTTGCAATTACAGGTCTGGCAATCATAATGAAATAGTTACCCTAGGCACAATCTGAAAGGTTTGGCAAGTCTTTTGGGGTTTTTTTGGTATTCCCCCCCCCCCAAACTATGTTGTGTCTGTGTTTCTTCATTGTTTCAAAGTCTGTTGCTAACTGGAAGTTAACCTTACACTAGAGAGTTGAATACTCACATAATTACTCCATGTTTTCTTAATTTGGTAACATCAATCTAGACTCAAAGGACACTTACCTGCTTCACATTGTAGCCTGCTTTTGCACTGGTTTCAATAAACATAACGTTCAGCTCTTTGGCTTTCCTCTCTCCTTCCTCAATTGATACTTGCCTGTAGAATAATATTTAAAAAGATAAATTCTTACCTTCAAAAGATGGTATTATAAAGGTTATAAACAAAGCTCTGAAAACAAGTTGATACAGGTGCTACTTAAACAGGCAAGAGAATCAATCTGCAGTACACTTAAAATTTTGTATACTTCTATTGTTATACTTGGCTGCAAACAAAAACTCCACAAAAACCAAAACTTAATACTCTGCTTACTTCCCTTTAAAAAAATTTTTACTTCCCTGTTTCCTCCCCTATCTTTCCCAAATCGCAGATGTTTTACGCACTTCCAAAAAGTCTATGTTCCTGTCTTCTATCAGCTACCTTTTATTCCGCTTTTTTTTTTATCGGTACCGAGGATCGAATTCACCATGCCTGCTTGCAAAGGCAGGTGCTTATGCTGCTGAGCTAAATCCCCAGCCCCTTTATTTTGCTCTTTAAATTATCTTTATTTTGAGTTTCTCATATAAGAGAAACCATATATTTAACCTTTTGTGTCTAATTTATTTCACTTAACATTATGATTTAAAGGTGCATCCATTTTTCCTTTTTTTTCTTTTTCCTTTTTATCGGTACAGGGGATCGAACTCATGACTGCCTGCTTGCAAGGCAGGCGCTTATGCCACTGAGCTAAATCCCCAGCCCTGAGGTGCATCCATTTTTCCACAAATGACTTATATTTAACCTTTTGATGGCTGAAGAGTACTTTGTTGTGTATACATATATACATTTTCTTTATCCATCACCCATGGATAGGCTTATAGCCCATTTTGAAGATTTAGCTATTATGAGGTGTGCTGCTATAAATATGGTATGTATCTAACATATATTAAAGACACAAGGAAAAAGAAACCCCACAACACAGTGTCTTTAAATCTCTAAGGAAGACACCCCAGAGGAGTATGGCAAAGTCTGACTTTCTATAGTTTTTTGAGGAATCTCCATACTAGTTTTTTTTTTTTTTTTAATTTAAGGAGAAAAAGGAAAAAACAGAAAAAGGGTACAAGTAATACAAAACTTAAAAAATAAATAGTAAGAAATCACTAGTTAATAGATTACATATTCTCATCTTAGAAATAGTTGTTCAAGTTACAAAATTGAAGCATATAAAGTGGACTTTCAAACAGTGAGAGTGCAGACAGATTTGTTCAATGATCCAAAAAACACTCAGTAATATGGTTATCTATCTTATACACTTAAACATATATGCAGTTGTAACCTTTAGAGCACTTTCTTTTCTTTTCTTTTGTACAATGACAATTACACATTTTGGGTTTTATTACTCCCATAGTTATTACTTTTTCTGAAGAGAGTAAAACCAAATGCGACATATCAGAACAGAGTCAGTCAAATCAAAAGGATGGACATAATAGATAATGTAAAAACAAAATATAAGGTTATCAACAATGGTTACCATACTGCCTCTTGCTATTTTAAGAAGAATTGGCAGTTATAATAAAATTGAACTAAACAGTAAAGAATAAAACCAAAGCATTGGAGACACTACAGGATTTTAAAAGAAAATAGCAGTCAACTGGAATGGGCGTCATAATGATTCTTATTGTCTTCACAGTTCTGCCTATACTTTCGAACTTGGTACTATCCAGCAAAGCAGAATAGAGGAAAATCAGTCAAAGCAAGATGGTGAGGGCAATACAGGATTTCAAATCAAGTTAATAGGAAATCAAAGTAGGTTACTATAATGTATCCTGCTATTTTTTATTTATTTTTCCCTTAATTAAAAAAATAAAAAGAAAAAAGTAAATAATTAAAAAAAAGGGGATTGAGATAAAAGAGGGCATAACAACAGAACAGCGCAGGTCAAGTCATAACCATTTGAGCAAAACAGTGTTTCACCACAAGATATCCTGGCATAGAAAGTTACCATAGTGTCTCTTTCCTTGAAATCTTTGATTATAACTTCATATACTGTAGCACCAAACGTATCAAGACACTATAAAACCATTCAAAAGAATGACATTATTACAGGGTATTTAGAACCAATTAACAGAAAATGAACAATGGTTTCTATATAAACTCCTTGTCTATAAAAGTTTTTGCTTATATTATCATATATAATAAAATCCAGTAAGATACAACCTTTTAAGACCGATGGAGACAGTAGAATACAAGTTTCATGGGACTTCAAAACAAGATGGTAATAAATCAGCACTAGCTATTATGATGTCTTGTTTTCTCCAAAATAGCTGTTCCAACCTTCTGATCTCTGCCTCATTTCTGTTGAGCTCTTCTACTGTCATTAGTTGTCAGTTTGTCTTCTTCATTTCGTTTTCTGCTCCATTCATTGTGGCCTCTCTGCGAGTATTTCTGGAATCTTGGTATTTTCCTTTTTTAGACTATCCTGCAGTATTCTTTGTAGAGTTGAATTAGTGGTTGCAAATCCCTAATTCCTCTTTATCCTGGAAGCACCTTGTTTTTCTGTCAATTTCTAGGGACAGTTGGGCAGGATATATCAATCTTGGCTGGAGGTTATTATCTTTCAAAGCTTGAATTATTTCCCCCCACGCTCTTCGTGATTTGATGATTTGTGCCGAGAAGTCTGCTGTAATTCTGATGGGTGTTCCTTTGTAAGTGATCTGTTTCTTGTCTCTGACGGCTTTTAATATTCTGTTCTTATATTGGATTTCTGGAATTTTGATTATTATATGCCTGGGTGTAGCTCTGTTTGGGTTGTAGGTGGCTGGAGTCCTGTATGCCTCATATATCTGAGTATCTTTACCATTTGCTAAATTAGGGAAATTCTCCTGGATTATTTCTGTGAATAGCTTTTGTAGTCCACTTGTTTGTGTCCCCACTTGTTTTCTTATGTTCTTAATTCTTAAGTTATAGATCCTCTTATCATCTTCTAGCTTTTGTATTGTTGCTGTTTGTTTTTTTGTTATTTTTAAGAAGTTTTTCATTTCATGCTCCCATATTTCAAATCTGCCCTCCAGTTCAGATAATCTGTCCTTAGTTTCTGTCAAGCTGTTATGCCAGTTTTCGATAGTTTTTAGTTTCCTGGTAATCTCTTTGAACCTGCTTCACATATTCTATGCTTTCTCTATTTTCTCCATCAAACAATTCCCCCCCCCTTTTTTTTGTTCTTCCATTCTACCATCTGTTTTTTCTTGGGCGGTGCTTAGTATTTCTGTAACTATTCTGCTTATGTCTTGCTTCAGGTCATTAATAACTTCATTCCTGAACTCGTCTATGAGGCTCCGGAGATATCACTTTATGTCTATCGGTGCCGTGTCTGCTATTGCATGTATCTCAGGATTGGGGGCCGAGGACCATTTCTTGTTGCTCCCTCTTCCCATATTCTTTGTTCCTTATATATAAGTGTATATAGGAGGGCCAGCTTCCTTCCCTATGGGCCACAGTCTGTTTGAATTGTGCTGGCTAGGTATTCCCGCCCACCACAGCACACCAGGAAGACACAGACCTGGGCAGTCTATGCCAGGCCCACTCCTCCAGGTCAACCTACTGAAGGCTTCACCGCTAGGGTGCACCTCCAGGCACTGGGACCTGGGTTGGGCTAGCCTACTGGGTCTCAGCCAGCGGCATCTCGCAGGCCAGACACTCCCCACCCATCCCACTTGAGAGAGGGATATGTGACTGAAGTCACTGCAGCATCTTGTTCTGGGAAGTCTGCCCAGTCCGAGTATATCCTCCGCTGAAGCCTCCTTCTCTATGGAAGGGTTCGGATCCGCTCACTCACTGCAGGTCGATGGAGGGCACCCGGCCAGCCCCACTCCCAACTCCATTCAATGCTTCCCATTCTCCAAGCTTTCGCGCCTCTCTCCCCGCTGTGCCGACCAGGACGCAACAGCAGCTGCAGGAAATTAAAATCGCAGTTTCCAGTGGCATGGGGTTTGGCTTCTGTGCTGAGACCTTATCTGTTACCGCTGTATCACCAGGATTGCATTTCCAGTTGGTTTCTCTTAATTTAGTTTGTTCCTGGGTCGGCAAAGAATTATCCCCGCTTGCCTAGGACTTCCTGCCCGGCACCATTCCTGGATTTCAAGTGCGGTTTCTCAGAAAGCCTCCAAGGCTGCTGCTATCTATCTGCCATGTTCTTCTGCCAATCGCCCATACTGATTTCTTTAGTGTTGAGGATACGATGGCTGAAGGTTCCTGGGGTAGTTTCTACATCTGTAATTCTATCCCAAAAACAACATGTCTGTTTATGTGCCAGTACCATGCTGGTTTTATCATGGTAGCTTTGTAATATAACTTGAAATCTGGTATTGTGATGTCTGCTGCCTTGGTTTTATTGTTCAGGATTGCTTTGCCTATTCTGGGTCTCTTCTAATTCCATATAAATTTTAGGGGTTTTTTTTCTAGGTGTATGTACAATGCTATGGGTATTTTGATTGGGATTGCATTAAATCTATACATCATTTTTAGTAAAATGGCCATTTTGACAATATTAGTTCTGCTTTTCCAGAAACAAAAACACCTTTCCATTTCCTGGTGCACTTTTCAGTCCCTTTTTGGGTACTGGTACTGTACTGTACTGTAATCTGTAATTTTCACGATCAATGTCTTTTGCTTCCCTGGTTAGGGGAGATACATATATGTATCTTACATTTTTACTTATATTTTTTACATTACATTACTTACATATTTTTTTCTTTTTTTTGTACTGGGCTCAAACTCAGGAACTTACATTTGCGAGGCAGGTGTTTAGGCCTCTGAGCTATATCCTCAGCCCTTATTTATTTATTTAAAACTGAATGTTGTAGCACACACCTATAATCTCAACACTCAGGAGGCTGAGGCATGAGGATCACCATGAATTCAATCCAGTTCAGGTTTCAAAGTGAGTTTAAGGCCAGCCAGGATTACAAAACATCAAAACAGATAGTTTTTTGAAGCTATTGTGAATAGGATTATTTTCCTGATTTCTTTTCTGGTGTATTTATCACTGGGTGTAATTTTTTTGTTTGTTTGTTTTTTGAGACAACTGTTTCACTATGCAGTTCAGGCTGGCCTTGTACTTA